TTTGAATTATGCGGACAAACAAACTCTACTTATAATAAGAAAAAAAACTGACAGGGAAACAATCGAATAAAAACATATGTCACCATAGAAAAACCAATATTGGGACATCACCTAACCGAAGCCAAATTTATATTTTAATAATTTATATATCGAGTTGGTGGCTCGGCCTTAATTCTGAATCTTAAGCCGAAGCTAATATTTTAAAAATTAATTTAGATAATTTCCAAAAGATTTTGAGTCGACACAAATGTCTTGTTAACTATTTATTAAAATAGAAACGAAACGACTAGGAATTATTTTTCAACTATTTATTTAAATATAGTCTTTGGTATTAACTGGCTTTGCCTGGGCTACGTTTTTTAGACGTCACATTTTCACACATTTTGACAATTGGGATAAAGAGAAATACAACTTTTAAATAAGTATGAAACGAATTGGAACTTTTACCCATAGAGCATTAGTTCCCTATATCCTCAAGTGAATTTTCATGAAAATAAGTCGTTCGGTTCCAAAAGGCTTGCATATATAAATATAGGTTACATTTTCTTTAAGCTCTGAAACGCCTTAAAGCCAAATATATCTGAAGTCTCTTAACGTCTATTGTTTTTCTGGTGCGTGTAAGGCGGGAATCCTTATCACAATTTGCTGTAACAGTTAGCAAGTAAATTTGAAATAATATCAGGACAGTCTCTTGGCGATTGTAACTGGTGTGGCAACATGAAAAAACCCGGTCATAAGCCTATCAAAACGTTTTTATTGGATTCGTGCACGCGGCAAGCCAAGCCAAGCCAAGCCCTCGCACATGGGGCTGGAGCCCTTCCACCAATAGACCCGAAAGCTCCGAAGGCAAAGTCGACGACAGTTTCGCGTGTGTTTGCACTTTTCCGGTCGTTTTTCTAGCTTTTCTAGCCGGCGTTTTGGGCCAGGCTAGACAAAAAAAAAGAGGGTTGGTTTTTCGGCTCAAATGTTTAGAAATTGATAGCGACGACAAATCATACGCGTACCTAGGCTGAGCTGCGAAGTCAACTGCATTTTTTGGGGGTGGCTCATAACTTGGTGGCAACAGGCCCCGCACCACCGAAACCGAAGCTATTTGTCGTCTTGCAACAATTTGCTGGCCTGCTAATAAAATTTGATAAGCCAAAGTGGAGCGCCAGACGCCAACCAGCCAGCCAGTCAGCCAGACAGCCAGACATAAAATGTTGCCCCACTGCACGCAAATTGGGGATAAATTTAATGCGACTGCGGCGGGGCGTGTAATGTGCGGGGAGTGACAATGCCAGCAGACCACCAAAAGCACCCCCAATCAATTGGAAAGTTAATTTGTGCCCGGGGCATGCATAAAAATGTGGCCAAATGCTGCCAGGACACGAGGGATACACCGACCGTGTCTTCGTCCTCGTCCAGGCGGCTGCTGCGTTCATTAGCCATAAAAATGTGCTCGCCTCGTCAGAGTTTGCACTTTCTCCCCCTCTCTCTCTCTCTCTCTCTCTCTCTCTCTCTCTCGTGGTGCTCTTTGATTTATTCGATGTGTTTTGATTTGCGCCATTTCATTCTATTCTATTTGATGGTCACCCCCGCGTTTCTCTTCTGGCCATTTGCTGCATGCGAAATGCATTTTTGATGACAGTTAATGGAGTTTTTACTGCCTTTGAAGCGCGCTTTATGGGAGACACAACAAAACAGAATACCCCCGGCTCCAAATGGGACCCATTCCCCTGACTAAGCTGACTTGGCATCTTTTTGTTTTACGTTTTTGGGGGCTTCGAAGTTGGTTGCGCTGGGCAAATGATTGAGGGTTGGCTTATTTTATTAAGGGCCAGCCAGACACAGAGTTTTATAAAAACTTTTTCAATTTTTTTTTTGTTTTTGAAAAAATCCACAGTCTATAAAACGATTTTTGATGCTGCTTTGTTCATTTTGGTTTTTATAGCTATTAATAAATAAAATTTGTATACTTTTCGCAAATTTATAATGTTCATAACAAAGACTATTACCCAACTTTGTTTAAATATAAAAAAAGCAAGAAATTTGAATTATATTTATGGCAAGCTTTTTTACTGTTTATGATTATGTTATTTTCTTAATATAGTCAAATTTTATGGAGACGCCTGGGAATGCACTATTAATTCCTATGCTCCTCCAGACGTAGTTAGTATTCTTGCCCTTCAAGAAACTATAAAAATATCAAGATTCGAAATCGTTTTATCTCACAAAGGATATTTTTTTGTATTGTGCTAAGAAAATGTATAAATTATTGGCATATTATATTAACAAAAAATTAAAATAATTTAATGCTTATTTATTTATTGAATTTTGGTCTTTGAAAATGTAGTTAAAGCAACTATAACTATCAAAAGTATATAAACAATTTAATTTTACTAAATAAAATAAGTATTTCAAATCAAAACTCAAAAAAATGTATATATACATATTTAATTTATGCTCAATCTTTTCAGGGAATACAGCGAAAAAACAAACTCAAGATTTAATTATTTTTTTGTTCACAAAACATAATTTGTGCTATATGCATACCAAATTTGTAAACATATGTTAATTTAAATCTTTTATGTAAATAAACTTTTAGGCAATGTTCCCTTGAAATATTCTATTCAACATTTTAGTTGCAGCATTTTAGGCGCACATTGAAAAAATGAGCTGTAAAGCGAATGTAAAATCAAATCAAATATTTGTGGAGCACACACACACACCCACCCACACACACATGCACAGAAATGACAATGTCACGGCCAGGAAAAGGCTTTGACAAACACACTCCAGTCAACACACATTTACACATACATACGCACACACATATGTAAGTATGTGTGTATCTGCATAGCAAACAAAAACGGAAAACAAACTTTTTCTTTTCGGCTGGGTTAAGGCTGTGTTGCCCAGGAAGTGGCACAGACGCAGCCAGGACACTTAAATGCTGCTCAAAATTGGATTTGTGCTGCTTAGGCGGCTGCCCCAACCAACTACCACCCCTCCCTCCACCATTGTCCCTTCGCTCACATGCCGATAAAGATTTTTATAGTTAGGCCTGCTGCCAGTTTGCCACAAGTCATGGCTCATCCTCAGCCTTTCTTTTTTCCTATTTCTTCGCGTTGCTCCGACTCTTTTCTATTCCCCAGCTGCACATTAAGTTTTTTCGCCAAGCGTGTGTGTGTGTGTGGGTTGTAAGAAAGGGCGGGAGCGGGGGGCAGGCTGCAGACTGTCCCTGTGTTTATGCTTATTTAAAAAAGTGGCAACGCTTCAGAGTTTTGATTTGATAAAGCTGAATGGAAAATGCCAAGAAAATGATAGCAGCAAGCAAGTGTGTGTGTGAGTGTGATATGGTAGGTGTGTGTGTATGTGTGTTTGTGTATTTGGCTGTGTTTAGGTGCCAGTTTAAGTCTGATAAAAAGTCATGCTCATGCCAGCATTTATGCAAGTCACATACGCACGAAGCTTTTAATAATAAAAACAACGAGCGCCTGTTATATGAAAACAACGTAAGCGATGCGCCAGGGGACGTGGGTGGGAGGGTGTCCGTGGCCGGGGCAGGGCTTTTGGCAGGGGCTGTGCGTGTAAATGTCTTTATGCGTCCGTGAGCAGCAGTGAAAGTGAAGGCCGACTGAGAGTCCTTTACGCAGCGCTTGCATTGCATTGCCACAAAATGTGCCACACACGACTTGATTACACTTTACCCAAAAGTTTCTCTTATCAACAAAAACCAAAATCATCATCAACATGAGAGACTGGCTATATTCGGCACGCCGAAAATTATATACTCTTGTAGAAATATGGCTTAAGGTTTTCTACAGCTGCGCGAAGAATTGTGAAGTTCGTAATTGCTGAGTTCGATTTAGATATCTTGGAAAACTGAATTTTTTGCCATAAGGAAATGCATTTTTCGTCCGATTCTTCCATTTAAACTTAATTTCCGACCGATCGTTCCTATGGCATTGAAACTGATCAAGAATATCTACATGGAGATGTCTTCTAAGCGATACACAATTCATGACATATTTAACGTGCCCTCCTAAAAGGGTATGCAAAAGCCTAACTTATACAAAATGAAAAGTAATCATTACATGCATACATTAAGGTAGTGATTATTAACAAAAAAAGAAAAATAAATAAAATAAAAAAGCTCCCTCAACTTCAACAAGATAAAGCACTTAGCTGGTACAAATACATCTGCGGTATTTAATAGATTTTAAATACAATACTTAATGTTATTATTACGACCTGTCCATGTTTAAACTGCACAAAAATGTTATAAAAAGAGGTCTAAATAAATGGAACATTCAGAAGCAGATAATAATATATATGAATATTCCTGATACGTATATACATATGTATATAGTCAAGTCTTGAAATCCATGTCCATCTGTCTTTCCATTCATATATCTATCATATTCGTCTGTGCATCTAAATTGACATTGGACTAATATATGAAATAGATCCTTGGGAGTTCTTGTTTTTACACTTCTTTACATTTTTGTTTTTAGAGATAAAGGAGACTATATTTCTTTTTTGTAAAAATCTATCAAAATCGGAAAACTATTATAATTTTAATTATAATTTAAGGTATAAAATCTGACTTATGCAATTTGTTTAAAATAGATTTTCCAACAAACTAAAATATTATTACTTTGTTTTTATTATTATTAAATTCGTTTTAATTGGCATTTTTATTTAACACGCGTTAAAATGGAAACTTTTGTATATTATTAGTTCTTCAGTCGTGTGCTGATTTTGGCATGTGAAATAAATATGTAAATTTTGATATAAAAAATTCATGGAATGATCATATTTCATAAAAGTTATATTGACCTGGACATGATTTCCTCCAAATAAATAAATAAGTCTGTAATAACTAAATAAACTAAAACCTGTTGAAATTTTCTATACCGAAACAATGTCACAGTGCTTAAATCAACCTAAGATCATTCTGTAGAAGCAATGGATTCGGAATCTTGTTTTAAACAGGCAGGAAACACATGAAACTAAAATCGATAATATCTCAAGAGACTAATATATTGAATAGAGCCTTCAGCTGTGGATAGGCACAACAATTGGGACCACAGATGATCACATCGGAGTAGATCTGATGCTCTCGACTGTAGGTCAAATTCTTGATATTGGTAAACTTGGGCTGGGTAACGCGCTTCAGCAGATCGCGAGACTCTAGCGCATAGCACAGTTTGCCGCATAGGCACTTGGGCGCTTCCGAGATGAGTTCGATGAGTATGGCAGGCAGTGTACTCGTCGAATAGGGCAGTTTATGTGTAGAGACCACGCGTGCCGCCTGCAACCAGAGCGGCGTGGGCGTGTGTGTGGCAGCTGTGCGTTGCACCTGTGTTTGAGCGGCTTCCACATTGAAACCTTTGAAGCAGTTGCCCCATACGTCCAGCAAATCTATATGCAGATCCTCAATGGCAGCGGGCAGTGATTCTAATTTATTGCTGGACACATGCAGCGATCGCAGCTTTTGAAGGCGACGTATGGCGAAGGGCAGGTGACGCAGCTTATTATGGTTCAGATTAAGCGTGACCAGACTCTCGAATCTGACCAATGGCGGTGGAAAGTAGCTGAGTCCGTTAGCCGACAAGTCCAGCTCGCAGAGGGACTGACTCAGTTTGCTACCACGCAGCCAGCACCAGTCGTTGAGCTCGCCCAGCGCATTGCCGCTTAAATGCAGCGAGGTGAGCGGCAGGCGACCCAATTCGGTGGGTATCTATGCGGGTAAATGAAATATTCATTATAAATCAACGCTAACAATGTGTATATTACCTTTGCTAGCTTGTTGCCACTGACATCCAGCGTGGTCAGATTGCGCAGTGTGCAAATCTCAAAGCTGAGCTTCATCAATTGGATATTGTTGATGGTCAGCGATTTGAGAGTGCGCGGAAAACCTTTAACTGGATACTCGCTGCGTTTATTGATGGTCATTCGCTGCTGCGGCTGTGCCTTCTGTGGTAAGGCGGTTGTGTTAGCTATGTTCAGTCTCAAATTGATGGCATCCTTGCCCTCCATGCCCAGCTTGAGCGTTTGAAGAAAACCCTTTAGCTGTATGGGATCACATTTGATGAGCAGATTCTCTGCCGGCTGCTTAAAGCCAATGGTGGCCTTGCCGTCCAGCACGAATTTGGTGTGTACGCAGTGTATATTATCGCGCACCTTGTACCGTGTGCCAGCCTTCACCTGGGGAGTGAACAGCACCATTTCCAGCTCCTTTTTGGTATTGCCATTGGAGTCGCGCGCGCTTTGCTTGTAGCCGATGGCAAGCGTTGATTTTACGGCCCGAGGAGTCCGATTTGCCTGCGTTGTGCGATTTAACACCTGCACCTCGCATAATATTTTCATTGCGTGGCTGCGTTGGCTTAAAATAAACAGAAATAACGCCAAAAAACGTAATTGTTATTTCTTAAGTTGTTAAAACGGCTTTGACTTGCTCGCGGTGCTGCCATCTGGTTAGTTGTCAAACAGCTGACGCTAGCCGATAGCTGCAATAATCGATAGCACAACTTGGCGCGTTTTTAAATTAAAAAAATAAAATATTAAGTAATGAAATGGAAATACAGTGAAAAGTGTAAATTGCAACACCAATATAATTTAATAAGTTATAAATTAATAGAGGTCACTAAGTTCTTAATGTTCCATGACACCAAATCGGCATCAGCTGATTGTTCAAGGAACTAGTTCAAATCTTAACAACTGCAGCTTTAAAGCTTAGGACTAGCCACAACATCAAAAGTAGTTATAAAACAAAACAAAACATTGAACCTTACTGGTCAAATTGCTGTAAATTTACTAACCAAAATCACGGGTTTGCCCACACAGCACGCTAAACGCAGGAAAATGATATTTCGGAAAGTTGTCCGCTTTCGTCGACAATTTCTACCATTTTATATGTTCAATGGATTCTTGTGACAACGCAACGACACGCGTTATCAACGCTTGCGTTATAACAATTGCGACAACATTCAACAAAGGCGGGAACTAACAGTAAGTGATTTATATTTGTTTATCAACGAAGCTGTAAAGGTGCAAATTTATGCAAAAGTCAATAACTGCATAACAGAAAACATTTGAAGCTTTTAAAAGCTTGCATAGGCGAAAGCTTTGCAGAAATGGCGGGCAAATTATTTGAACAAAACTTAACGAATAAGTAAATATAAGTTACACAATGGTTTCAACAGCACAACAGCCTACTAGACAACGATGTAAGCCGCAACGTGGTTATCAATATTGACAACTGTGCGCTTTATAGCACCAATGTAAGTAATATTCTGCATAATATTAATATTAATATTAATGTTAAACATTTTGCATGATCTGGCAACGTTAACAACGCTCAACAGTTGCGCAGTGTGGCCAACACAGCTGATCATCAGCATCGGCAATCGTCATCGCTCAGCTATCGATCACTCCAGCAACGCAAGCGCCAACGACGCGAGCGCGTTTTAGTCATATTTCGTTATTTTTGCGCGACAGTCGCATTCGCACTGACTGTCGCCTGCGTCAACTACACGTTCCACACAATGGGTTGGTTTTTTGCGGTACTCGTTGCGCTCATCGCTTTGCTGCTAACAAGGTCTTGGCGCTGGTTCTACATCGCGGGAGCAACAGCCAAACGAGATTTAACGTGAGTTTCGTGTGTGTGTGTTTTTGTGTGTTTCTATGATGTGTATGTTTTGTTGTGTATAAATGTGGTGTGCGTCCTAAGGTTGATTCGTTTACAATACCGCAAGTGGTGTGCATTTCAATACAATTTACATTTTCTTTTATAAGTCCATTTGAGCGTTCCCAACTCTCCTGTGTCTCTGCCACTCAACCGCAAACAGATCGTTGTCTGGACGTATACTTTGCCCATTGTACCCAAGCGCTAAACAAGTAAAAAAAAATATTATAAAAAAAAATAGTCATAGAAAAACTCGTTTCTGCCATCTATTTGGGTCGAGTGTCTGCAGCAGCCACTATGTACAGATTTTAGAAAAGCTACAGCTGAAGTTTTCTCTTTTCACAATTTTCATACATATGTTATCTGGCCTTTCGACTTGATTGCTATGTAAACAAAACATATGCTTGGATGTGTCATACATTTGGGCTATCAGTTGTGCATAGTTTTTTATCGTAGCTTCTTTTTTTATTGCCAGTCATTGACTTCGTCAGGTTCAAGGTCGCTGCAAACAATGTCAGTAGGTGGCAAAAAAAAAAAAAAAAACAAACCAAAACAAACTGAAAAATCAAATTCACTTTTAATACACCATTGAGCGGTTGGCCCAATCCATGCGATAATGCGTGAAGAGTCTCTGCAACGCATACTAATTTTTTTTTCTTTATCGTGTCTCTGTGCCTCTCTTTGAGTGGGGCGGAAGAAGCAGAGTTGTTGGTGCTGCTGGCACAGTTACTGACGCGGACGCCGACGTCAACGTCGACGTCGATCAGCGCACGAACTGTTCTTGAAAACGTCGTCGTGTCACTTGCTTTTGGGGGTTTTATAATTGTTTTATTTTTTTGTATTTTCGTATTTGAATTCAATTTAAATTTGCGGAAGTATCACATTTTTGTTGCTATGCTTAGCTAGGGTTGCCAACGCTCAACACTAATTTTATGTAAATGACAATTATAAATGCCCAAAGTAAGCAGAGAGGCCGCTGATCTATGGAAATTTCCGTGACACAATTCCGAAATGCTTGACAAAAAAATTAAAAAGAAAATAGACCATTGGGTATTATACTATCCTACACATGATACAAATACATGTCTGCCAGAAAGATCTTAAGCAACATTGGTCGCATCTTTAGTTGGTTGGTATGATATAGATTTGGTAAAATTAGTAGGATTACCTTGTGCTAACTAACTTTGCTCAGATTAAAATTGGTGTTATCTCTGGATCATGGGCTTAAATTGTCAATTCTAATTAACTTTATCTGAGCCTCTAATGCCTGAAGCTACTAAATTTAATTTCCCCTAAATTAATATGCACACAGTTTTAAAAAAAAGTAATTAGGAACTTATATAGATATTAAGTAAGAAATTCGAATTAACTATGAAAGTATTAGTTTAGCCGCTTTGCTCGTATTCTCCACTTCCAAGAAATTTTTCAAAAACATATTAGCGCTCACTTAAGTCATAAAAGATAAGTGCAGTGTAAAAGTTCGACTTTGGGGCCTTTAAACAAATTTTTTATATATTTAGAGTAGCAGAAATCATAGATCATTAAGGTAGCCAAACTATAAAGTGTAAGGAGGAATCGAAGGTGTATTCTTAAAGTAAAGAAAAGGTTCCGGCTTATAATTTCAATAATAAAACAGCTGTTGAATGACATTGCATGTTGTATATACTACGATCAGAAACTGCTAATTATAGTCTCTGATAATTAAAATCTTCTCCAAGTTTCGAAAATACAATACCCTTCGGTAGTTATATAGATCAATGGTATATTATATATACATAAATTGGCATTGAGTTGGAGTCGAAATTTGCGCACTGACGAATTGCTGAAAATCAGCTAAATTCGTTTTTATGGCACAGAAACACAGCAACAACAACTCAGATCGAGTTCCGAGCAACAAGGCCAGGTGTATTTCAAGTTAATGAACAAGATTCTTAAGATCGACCATTCCGCTGCAAGCGGTTTCTTGACGACCTTGCGTAACTCGGCTCTGTATCATGCGCTATTCACACACATGGTATACAAAGTGCACGAGCTTAGATACATACACGTACATATATAAGATGTTTTGTATATACATATATACGGCGTATTAAAATGCCAATTGTCACTTTATTGCTTGAATCGGCAGTCGCGCTGCTCACATAATTGGACCCCATCGGTAGCACTTCAACAAATTCCAATTACATATAGCTGAATTAATTTTTAGCACGTCGCCATGGGCAATAATCCCCAACTACTTAGGCGCACAATCTTATCAGCTATGCTACGCTTTCTATCAAGTCCAAAGCACTCTCGAGTGCTAGGCAAATCGAGTGCAGCTTAAAAATTCCATAGATTCGATAGATTGGGGGGCTGTATTAGCCGGTCGTAAATTATGAACGTTAAGTGAATTAACTTTCCGTTATGCTCCATATATGTATAAGTGTGTACAAACTTTCCTTAAGCCAAGTGGTTTTTAGTTTTTCCTAGATGGGGCTACCCCCGTAGAGGGTATTATAAATTCGTCATGCAGTATGTAACACATAAAAGGAAATGACTCTGACCCTATTAAGTGTATTTATTCTAGAGCAGCTTCAAGAGCCGAGTCGATATAGCCAGGTCCGTCTCTCTATCTGTCTGTTTCTATGCGAACAAGTCTCTCAGTTTTACAGCTATTGTCTTGAAACTTTGATCGGACCTCTCTATCATTTAGCTGCTATAGAAACGATCGATCGAAAAATAGATTCTTGTATGGAAAACTTGTTTGTTTATGAAGATATCTTGACAAAGTCGGCATTTATTAGTTTCACCACGCTCCCTACATATATGCCAAAGCTTATCAACATCGGACTACCATATCATATAGCTGTCTAGGAACGATCGGTCGAAAAGTAGCTTCTTATATGGCGAAATATTCTGCTTTCCAAGATATTTTCATCAAACTCTGCTCTTACAAGGTTCACTATTCTCACATATTTGCAAAAGGGAAATGTCTACAAGGGTATTCAATCTTCGACGTGCCGAAGATGTACCCTACTTTCTCGTTTTTTTATTTACTTAGTACATCGGAGTAACCTTTGCTCTGAGCTCATTTGATTTATATCTAAATGTTAATATTACTACGCTTTCAGCTAAATGTACTTTAGCTTCAGCTGTAATTGGCAAAGGTCTTATACAGTCTACTTGGTATGATTTTTATTTAATGAATTCCATATAGTTGTTTAGCTTTACAGATTATTCTTAACTGGTTTACGTTGTTTTTTACAAAGTACATACGTATAGGTTTTTACAGGGGGCACAGTCTTATTTTCAAGGTAACTCAAGGTATACAATCCATCCAATCCTAAAATAAGTTTATTTATATTGGTAATATATATCGTCTTGACATTTTGCTGCATTCATTTCATCTAGGGGCCCAGTCATCGGATTTATGAAATTATATTTGTTAGATGACAATTATGAGTAGAGATCAAATTTGTTTAGCAGTTTTTATATGAAAATACTTAGTTAATGAAAAATTCTTAATAAAAGGGCAATATATTTTATGAGAAAAAATAGCAAACCAAGCTTTTAAGTGAAAAAAAACGTGGATTCAAAAATGTGTTAATCTTTGGGAGTTGATGCAGTTAAATAAGTCAACTACTTGTTAGAGTAAAGCATACTTTGATGGGAAATATTCCATTTGAAATGAATATATTAAAAAATCGTTATAGCATATACATACATTAAACTTGTACTCAGTTTTCTATTGAAGAAACCAAGCCGATTAACAATTTCATTTACTTTCGCTCTTAACTTCACATAATTTTAGTTTTATTGCCATTTCGAATCACTTCAAGCTGTTTTCCCAGGCACATTTAATTGCAGTTGGCCCCCTCTTTGCCCCTCCGGCTGTTTGCCATGATTATACATATGTACTTTAGGCCTTATCTGGGTTATGGCTGCGCCGTGTGCTGCGCTTGTCCAACGCTTGAGCTATTTTGGTTTGTTTTCACAATCGGCCCATAAAACACGCAACTCCAGCAGATCGATTGATAATGTAGACACACCTGTATACTGTGCAATTGTGCGGCATATCGCTAATCGTGCTTGTTACTCTTCTTATAACAATATTCTTCTTCCCCTGCCCCTTGCAGTGCTTTGTGGGCCTATGGAAAGCTGCTGCGTTACACGAAACATCACGAACGCCTCAACCATACCGTGGCCGATGTTTTCGAGGAAAATGTGAATGCTCATCCGGAGAAGATAGCCGTGATTAGCGAGACCCAGAAATGGACATTCCGCCAGGTGAACGAGCATGCGAATCGCGTGGCCAATGTGCTGCAGGCGCAGGGCTATCAGAAGGGCGACGTTGTCGGTCTGCTAATGGAGAACCGTGCCGAGTATGTGGCCACCTGGCTGGGTCTATCCAAAATTGGCATCATCACGCCGCTGATCAACACGAATCTGCGTGGTCCCTCGCTGCTGCACAGCATCACAGTGGCCCATTGCCATGCGCTCATCTACGGCGAGGATTTTGTTGAGGCCATGGCCGATATAATCAAAGATCTGCCCAACAGTCTGACACTGTTCCAATACAATAACGAGAACAACAACACACAATCGGAGGCGGTCAAA